TTATTATAATTATTGTTTTTTGGTTCAGATAAATCTTCGTGAAAAAACTCTACGAACTTATGTTACAACCCAATATTTTTGAAAAAGGTTTCAGTGGTGCCATCTATCTTGCTTTTGAAGCGGATAAGGTAATAAATTTTTGGTTATGATGCGCTACATCAACAAAGAGTTGCTTATAGGGATACAATATTGGCTTAGGATTGCACGCGAAGTTGAAATCGAGCATCTCTTCTTAGTTATTTGCCTCATAGCTTGCGAAATTCATCTTTGAGTTTCCGTCTGCTGCTTGCTATTAGAGTTGCACCAAGCGGACTACTGTAATTGGAATACAGTATACTTTTGAGGCATAGAGGACTTCATCTGGTGGAGTGCATAGCTCTCAAAAAGTATTTCAAAGCCATTTTCGTTGTACTAGCTTCAGGGCTGTCAGGGCATGAGCTCCAGAGCGATAGCATCGCATCGAGGCTCGTCCATTTAATCTATTTTTCTTTTTTTGATGACATTCCAGCAACACTCCAGTCCACTTCATAATGGGAATCGATTTGGCAAGAGATAACCACCCACCCCAAATTTCCGCTCAAAATGCTGTCCGAAATCATCCATGTCTCCCTTCTCCCCATTCTGAATGTCTCCATATTAATCTTTATTTTCAGGCTTCCAAAACTTGTCGGAATGTGACGCCAGCAAAAATCGACAAGTGCAGTCGATACCTCTTTCCATTGCTCTTCTCCGCATTCAACGGTGAGTTGTCTTAGAACCATTGTAATTCGTGTCTCCGCCCCTTTTAAATTGAATTTGTATGGTTTCAGTTGTCTACTGGACGATTATGACGGTATTGAGTTCAATAGCGGAAGATCTGAGTAAAGACGAATGGGTTCCGATTGTCATTGAAGACTGATCGTCACAATGCCATTGCTGTGCCGCGTCCATCCCCGTGTTGGCGCTATTGCGCCATGCCTCCTACCCCGTGACCACAGAGACCTGCCCAGAGAAATTTGACCATTATATTACATGACACAACAGACACAAATGACCTGGTGCACCTCACTAATACCGATGATGTTTATGTGTGTATGTACCTACGCTTCGCGTAAGAACAGCGTTATCAAATGATAGCAAAATAATCAATCGATCATATCGATTGATCGCTGAAAACAACTAAAATTTGATAAACCCAAAATTTTGCATGTGCATGTGAATTGGTAACACTGTTCGTGTGCGATCGAGTTGTAGAGTTTATGTTTATATTACATATTCTTCTCTTGAGCATAATCAATACGATATGTGATTATTGATCGGTTTATTGATTGCTTCATACTCACCGCCATCAGCCAGTCAGTCAGTCTCAATCGCTCGTGCTCCTCTTTAACCTCTGGGTGTGGTGGATCGATTGAGGTGCACCGTGCGCACGCGTATTGCTCAAAGTTGCCTTCCTGAGCAGCTCTTTTTCACTCTGCTCGTCAATTTCCACCATAGTCTTCCTTTCCATCATCCTGTCTTACTCGTTACTCATTTGCTGCTTGTTTTACCTGATGTACATAATGTTTAAATCATTCTAACTTTCAGAATTATTTAGGAAAAAAATATGTTGAATCATTGGGTATCGATTTATTGAGATCAAATTGAAAAGTGAAATAAATGAAATTCAAAAAAAAAGCATCGAAAACAAACAAAAAAATTTAGATGGTTATTCCACGGCAGCCATTGAGTATCATTGGTGTGGAGCAGCAAATCCAAACTGTGAAACGGCAGTGGTCGCCGATGATGTCGAACTGCCTTCGTACCGGTTCGCCAAGGTATGCATCGACAGGACCATGGCCACCACCGCTTCAGGTATGGTAACTTTCACCTTAAAACTGTTCTGTGGGGTATCACCTTAGCGGTGAGAGGCGCTTTTATGATTCGCTAAGAGCATATCATCACCCACACCAACAAAATTTTCTCCTTCCCTGTGAGTATTCGTGTGTTCTGTTCAGGAAGGAGCATTTTCCTAAGATAAAGCAAGTAGCATCACCTTGCTCACTTTGAAGTTGAATTACCTGGGTTCTCACTGTCTAAATATGAATTCGTCACATATAGTGAGCATTTATGGACGCCTGGGTGGGTCTTTGACTTGGTCCCGTAGTGGCAGCTTCCTTAAAAAGCAAAAGCCAGCAAAACACAGCTGCTCCAACTGCCCGGTTACTGACTAGTTTCCAGAAGTCAAGAGCAGATGGCATCATGATTTGCGGCTTCCCAGAGAAGGTATCAAACGGGTGTTTTTTCTTGAGAGGATTAGGGAAATATGCCTGCTCATAAGTCTTCGTTCTGGCGGAAAGATCATTGAAGCAACTATCTTCGAAGGGTGTCGGATGGAAATCCCCCTATTGGGAAATGAAATAAGCCGATCGCTTAATGAAAAGGCAGCAACGTAGCTATGATATCCGTTTAATGAGATCTCCCTTCAGGCTCCTATTCCCGACTCCTGCTCCTTTTTATTTTCGATCGAGAAAGTGGCTTCTATATGCTGCAGATTTTTGTACCGGCTGCGCTAGTCGTGGTTATTTCATGGGTGAGTATTTTTCGATTTCGCAATGTGAAGTGTTTTCATCTTTTAGCCCTATATAAACAGTAGAAAAAAAATCCCGGAAAAGTATAGTTGACGGGGAAGTTCCATATCTGTCGAGAACTCAGCGGATGGCTCCGTAGAGGTGGAAGGCTCTTGAAAGGAGACATGAAAAGTGACGAAAGAGCGCCGACCCCGATGGGATCCATCCGCTTACACTTCGGGCTAAAATCCCTGGGCAAGGATATCGGAAAAATGCTAAGCGCCCGTCGATTCTGATCAATCCGCCCCACCACTTTTCAGAAGAATAGCAGCGGTTTATTTTATTTCGATTGTAGCGCACCTTTTGGGTTGATAAATCAGAGGTAAAATGGAAAGTCATCAATCTCACCGAAGAATTGTTTTGCAGGTCTCCTTTTGGATTTCACGTGATTCGGCTCCGTCAAGGACGATCATCGGTGTGATGACCGTGCTCACAGAGACACATCTAATGACTGGAACGAATCGACGATTACCACCGGTGGCCTATGTGAAAGCTGTCGATGTTTACCTGGGTTTCTGCTATCTACTGGTCGTACTAGCACTGATCGAATATGCCTGTGTAGCCTACTCTAAGGTAGGAGAAGTAAAGTTAATCATTCAGTACTGTTTTTACTGGCTGAGATTTCTTCGCGAATATCTAAGAATCACTTTGTGGTCTCGGCTGATACAACTACTTCATGGCCAATATTACTACTGAATCACTTCAGAAAAAGAATGATGATCGACGCCGGCGAGAGAAAAAAAGCGAGCACAAACCGACTCCGCCAACTCCTGACTTATTGAACGGTTTGTTGTTGAATACTTTAAAACCGTCACAATTGTAATCACTACAGTATCCTGGGCTCTTTGTCCCACGTGAGAACGAACGGTACTCGTGAACAGAAGTTTTTCGTATAGATGCTCGTCTGGCTGAATGCACGTGCAACGCAGCACCTACGTCGATCATTGCCGTCATCAAGCAGCCAAATCGCTTCTGTATCCGCCATTCACATATCGACATCGCCAGCCGTGTCGTCTTCCCGTGTACTGTACGTTCGTTTCAAGAACCTTGCATAATACAACTATTTAGGTCATATAAAGCAAGACCTCGCACTAGAGGGGGAGGGCCATGACTGGAACTCGGTCTCCAGCTGGGCAACCACTAGGGAGGTCCCGACTCATTCCCTCTTCCCAACAGGCATCTGCCTTGAAGTATACCCTTCATGCCTTAACCTCAAGCTCTGCCTTTCACGATGGGATCAGTCAATAGCAGGGAGATATCTTGCCTTTTTTCTGAGTTACCATGTTCGTAAAGTCATATGGACACCTGCGGTGTAGCTCCTGACAGGGCAAACATTACTGCCCTCTGGGGCCAATTGGTTAGCAGCAAACCTTACTTGTATTGCGACGAATTTGGCCAATAAAGTCATCCCCCACTCAGTTTTGCTTTTTAGTTCTTCTGTGCCAGTTACTAGGTGCTTCTAAAATTAAGGTATTGCAGTTTCTCTTCTTCAACATGCTGTTCTGGGTGGTCCTATTGGCGAAAGCGAAACGCCTACCGTACTTCAGCACTGCGGCTGTACCCCGATGCTGAAAACATCCGTTTTGTTCAGCGGTCCTACTGTGGTGACTAGGTGATGACTGTTATCGCCCATATGTCTCCCAGATTTGCTCAATTCGTCAGTAGAATGCTCTCGTACCTACGTGTGTTCTTCTGTTTCTCTACTACTTTGCCGGTCGTTATATTGAAAAAATCAAAAACATTTTTGTTGACTTTCCCACTAGGAATTCCTTTTTTCCTTTTTTCTCTGTTACGCGGGGTCATCAAGAGAAAGTTCCACTTCTGCGCATTCTTTTGCATGGTCACTCACTTTTATTTCAAAGTGAATTAGTGCTCACAAAAAACGTGCACTGCTGGCAAAATGTGGGCGGAGTTTCCCATGACTTCATTATTGGCTACAGTGTACGGTCATGTCTTCTGTACCCACACGACCGACATCTGAACCAATGATTAGGTCATGGGAAACTCCGCCCACATTTTGCAAGTAGTGCACATTTTCTGTCAAAATAGCTTTCGTCTTCAGAATTCGGAAGAGATGGTTAGCTTCTAGAGAGGAACAGCTACTGGTTACCCATTTCAGTCAACAACGTATAATTTATATAATTACATCATATCATTATAGTTAAGTTATAATTTATTAGATTTCATAGTCGTTTATTTCATCGTCCAATAGTGATGATAGCTGCCTATAAGTAATTCAATAGAGTTGGATCAAAATTTCCATATCACACGTCAGGTCCAGACTGCTTTTCGGAGTATAAACGTCTAGGAGGTAGTAAAAATAAAGCAGAATCAATCGCCTCCCATTCAAAGCCCTTGAAAAGTAATAAGAGTGGCCATGCAACAAAATAGTTATCTGTTAAACTTGAAGCATTTATTATTATCTAGAGAACAAACACAGTTGGCAAGTAAGGGTGTCCATGTAGCTTATTTCAGACTTTTCAAACTTCAGTGCCAACCATACAATTCTCACGCACGCGCGGAAAATCAATAAGCATACATACGTACAGTGCGCTTTTGGAATACGCAATCACCGGTTAGCTCCAACCCAATAAACGACATCACTAATGTGATACAAAATATTTCCGAATGCTCAGATGAAGTTCCGCAGACAGCGTCAAGTCTGAAATCCACTGTCGTCTAGCCGTTTCGAGTAGGTCTGTACACAGCTTCTTAGGCTTCTATCGTATCTAGAGTCGAGTAGAGTATCGTCTACTTGTCATCAATTGAGTAATCGTTTTTAATAAAGCGTTTTTCCTTTGTTTTCTTAATGATTAAATTTTGATAAAGCGTTTTTCCTTTGTTTTCTTGATGACTACAGTAAGGGGGTATGGTGCACTAGGATCGAAATTGCCGCGTCGCCGCGAGAGGGTCGCCGCGCGCGAAGGAGTTAGCAGAATGCAGCAGCAAGTAAGAAATACAGGAACAAGAGAGAAGTGTCTTGCCTAAAATACTAATCGCATATCGATCGAGCTGTATCAAAAACGCTAGAGCTGGAATAACGGCGAAGGAACGGTCTAAGACAGCGCGTGCGGCGAATCGATTACACAAAACCGATCCTGCTGCTCGTCCTCCACAGTAAGGAAATGGTGTGGCATCAACATATTTTCACGTGTAGAGTGATAGCAGCACAAATTCCATATAAGTGAGTAGAGTTTTATAAAAATCGATTACGGTAAAAAAATACGGTTTTATGGACGTAATACTTCCTCAGTTTTCCTGTGC